TTGGTCATTTATTGAGATAGGTGAATCTGAAATTATTGGCAGTGTTCTAGAATTTGGTTGCCAGATTATGTTGTTAGCCTTTCTTGTCGCAGTATGAAGGAACTAGGAAGGATAGTAAATGGCTTGGTCGAACTAAAAATGCCTTACATTGAGGGTGATAAACTTATGACTATTAGCGTATTTTGGCGAAAAAGTATTTGTAAGCTGATTTGACCAACGTATGAGCTTACCCAAGCATCCTCTAAGCTTTGAAGAGATTTATCATGCTTTGACCTTTTTAGTTGAGGTAACTGGATAGAAGTGTCTAAAGATGAATGGTATCGTTTGTTGAGTAAGTCGAGTTAGAGATGTAAACAAGAGTCAATACTTCATATCAGGGTAGGATCTTGTTAAAGAAGACCCCAAAAATCGTCCCAACAAAGTGCGTATTTAATCTGCTAGCAGGGCCAAAAAGAGTTGCTCCATATTATTAGTGTTCAAGCAAGGGCTCAGCTAGAACATGTTTCCTTTAAATTGTTATATCGATGTAAATGGTTGATAGGAAAAAAGCCGAAAGAAAACCACAAAATGGAAAAACTGGTAAAACCTAAAATTGAAAAAAATCAACTTCTATTGGTTTGAATCCAAGTAATGGTAATTTTATTTTACAAACCAAGTAACGGTAATACCTGAATCCAAATATAGTACGTTCATTGTTCAGCAGCAAATATACTACGTTCTGCTCTTCAGAATGGTTTTTGATTACTTGGATTCAGATATTTACTTTTAGATTGAGTAGCAAACATGCAAAACAATATTACCATTACCATTCTTTGGTTTGAAAAAGTTATTGCAAAGATTCCTTTAATATAAGAAGCTGCAAAACATAATGCACTATAACAAAATCTCCTTCGAGTACATCCTTTACACACAAATTCTATTTCATGTCTCACTTTCAAAGATACAGCTTGTAAACTCCCAAAAGTAGTCGATAATTGAAAAACACTTTTACTTTCAAAGATACAGCTTGTAAACTCCCAAAAGTAGTCGATAATTGAAAAACACTTTTACTTTCAAAGATACAGCTTGTAAACTCCCAAAAGTAGTCGATAATTGAAAAACACTTTTAGGCATTGAAATTGATTTTATAAGCAAACTATTTGTATTATGAGTAGCTATATCCCTGAAACGAAACATTGCCCTTCGTGAAGGAACTGATACGAATTTTTCGTCATGTAATTCAGAATAACAAATCAAAGGTGGATCTAGAATTTGAACTTATGGGTTCTAGTTCTAGATTCTAGGACAACAACCTCAAATGCTAATAATTGAGTTCTGAATTAAATTCTTGTACACATATACAAGGTAGCGAAAGCTACCATATATTCAAGCCTAAATCATCCCCTGACAACAAATCCTACCCGTAATGGGAGGAAACACCGTGAAGAAACTCCGGAAAATGCCTCACAGGTATAACGTAGATGTGGTAGTAAAAGAGAAGGAAGAATTCTTCTTGGAAAAGGCTCGCGCTGAACAAGTGAGGACACAGACACAAAGATCCTGGTGAGAAAGGGCAATGGAGACAGTGAAGGTGAAATGGAGCTGTTGTTGGAACAATTGAATGTGAATACATGGAGGTATAGGTTGCCTGCTTCGACAATGCCGGAGCTGGCCACAGCGGCATTTCACAATATATATATTGAATGTTTGCTGCTCAACTCAAAATTAATATCTGAGTTCAAGTAATCAAATACCATTCTAAAGAGCAGAAAGTGATTTATATGTGTTTTCATTCACATAGCAAGAACAACGTTATGCACTCAATGGACTACGCATCCAGCATAAAAGTTTAAGTCACAGAATATATGCCACGCAGAAACTCAATCCAATTTCTCTACACACCAGCTACTAAATAACTTTAACCATTTTCCCCTGTGCATAAGAATAACTACATAAAAAAGAAATTTTTTAATTAGATTATCAAGTAGAAAGATTGTGCGATATTAGTGCTGTTGTTTGTAGATAGTACAATTGAAAAACTACAACATAGGCGATAAAACTAAACATATTTGTGACAACCACAAAACTATCTCTCTTTCAGTTCCATGTTAGGATTATAATAGCACAAGAACAACAAAGCATCGTTCCCTGATAAGACAAAAATAAAAGTGAATTGGAATTCTTGAAGCTAGAGTAATTTTATAAAAAAACAAATACGCAGTCTGAATCAAAGGACATAGTAAAGATATATAGATAACAAGACACTATATCCATTCTCAAGACACATTAAGATGTGATGAAATGCATTTCTTAAGCACAATCCTTGATAATAAGAAGCTGCAAAAACATTTGGGAAATCAATCCTAGCCAGTATTCTTGGATGCGTAAGAAGATAATTAAAGTAAGGAAAGCTGTGGAAGATGCTGGGGTTAACTATGCTTGACATGCAGCAAATGAAAACTTTCTCAATCAGAAGAATGTATCATCAAATGAGGGGTTCCTATACCAAAGTGGCTTGGAGAAAACTGATATATAATAACCAAGGATAACCTAAAGGGTTGTTCGTCTTAAACCTGGCAGCAAATAGGAAACTGAATACAAAGGAGAAGTTGATCAAAGGGAGTTATTGACGACCAGGTGTGTCCTTTGTGTGCTATGGAAACCTGAGAATGAGGACCACTTGTTCTTTAGTTGTAGTATCTCTGCAGGAATATGGGATAAATTGCTCTACTGGCAGGGAATCAACAGAAAGGCAATGAAATGGCAAGAGGAGATGGATTGGGCAGCAGTACATATGAAAGGAAAAAGTCCCAAAGCTGTCATATACAGAATGACTATTGCAGGATGTTTGTACACCGTGTGGCAAGATAGAAATAGTATGGTGTTTCAAGGCAAAAAACGAAGTAGTGAGATGGTTGTTAGGCAAGTTATACAGCATATCGTCTCCAGATGTTATGGGAAACCAAAGCTAGCGAGCAAAATATCTATCTGAACTGGCATCCTTAGTTGTGTATCAGTAGAAGTTCAAAAGGGTAGGTGTTTAACTGTAATACTTTGACTAAGCCTAGGTGATCCAGATGTAGCCTAGAGTTGTGGCTTCATGTCCAACGCTGGCTGGTAGGGTTCTGTTTTTGTGTTTTGTACTTGCTTGTAAATTTCCCTCTGGTAATAAAATTGATAATTAATTACCAACAAAAATAACAAGCTGCCAAAGACAAGTCAATATGATAACAAAAACTCCTTGCAACAACAACAATAACAACAAAAAACCAAGTGTAATCCCATGAGTGTGGTATGGGGAGGGTAGTGTGTACGTACACTTTACCCCTACAAGTACATCCTTTACACATGAATTCTAGACTCCACAAAAGCAAGATTCATGTCTTTCACTTTCAAAGATACAGCTTATAAACTCCAGCTAATGGTACCCAGGGGAAATTTAGAACCCATTGAACCCTTAGGAACAAAAACTCTTTGCAACAACAACAATAACAACAAAAAACCCAGTGTAATCCCATGAGTGTAGTCTGGGGAGGGTAGTGTGTACGTAGACTTTAACCCTACAAGTACGTCCTTTACACATGAAGTCAGGGGCGGATCTATGTACAAGCTTGAGGGTGCCACGCCACCCGGGCGACTTGGTTGAAACTCTATGTATATATGCATGTAGCTGTATATATGTAGAAGACATTGACTAAATATTAATGTTTACACCCAAATGAAAAGCTGGCACAAGGTGCCAGTGGTAGAGGATCAGCCTTTTCTCCCAAGGCGCGCGAGTTCGATATAGTATGCCGTTTATCCTTCTCCAAATCATCATTTTTCGGCCGATCACCACTAAAATAAATATTATGGGATTGCTACCAATAAAGTTTAATATTTTACTTTTGATAAAATAAATAAATTAATAAAGCAGGAATACTACACTAGGTTTGTTGTTCTTGTTATTGTTGTAAAGCATGAGTAATTTAAAACAACCCCTCTATCTCCACAAGATAAGGGTAAGGTTTGTGTTCACGCAACTCTCCTCAAACTCTCACTATGTGGGATTATACTAGTATGTTGTTGTAGTAAAGCATGAGTAATTGATATAAATTCACCAAATCCTTATGCCAGATGCAAATGACGATAGCCATTTGTGGGTTTGCTTCAGTTTCTACAATTCTCCTACTGAATATGGTTTGAGGGCATGAGTGATAGATTAAAAAAAAGTGATAAAGAAATCCATAGTATTTCAGATTTCTCCTCCCTAGCGAATTAGGATTCAGAGTTTCTCCCATAATCTTGCTATGAAATTGTAGAACTTCATGATGGGGAAGACCATGGCGAGGGAGAGCACTTCTGCACAATGTGAATTTCGTCGCTGACTTGTGCTATGTTCGTTGGAATACCAATGCACATTAGGATTCGGGCAGCCAATATGTTGAGAAGTGTTATTAGTATTTGTTGTAGTGTTGAGGACAATCCATGCTCTTTAAGAAGTGTTACTAGATATATTAACCCTCTTTGTGCATATCACCACGCCTTGTGGTGGTACAGTTGAAAATTAACAGCGTCTAATACTCTTTTTTGAAACTACTAACAACTGTTATGTAAACGAAAAAGACGAATAACTCGAACTAAAATCTAAAGTTGATCAAAACCGATCTATTAAAATTTACTCTGTTTGGATCGGGTAAATAACAATACGCTTATATTTAAAGCAGTATGACACCCGCAACCTTGAAATCCTGGATCCGCCTCTGCATGAAGTTTAGACTCCACAAAGCAAGATTGATGTCTTTCACTTTCAAAGATACAACTTATAAACTCCCGCTAATGGTACCCAAGGAAATTTAGAACCCATTGAACCCTTGAGGAAAAGGTTTCCATCAAATCATCCTCCTAAAAAGTATTGTTCTATACTTCTATATTTTCATCTTCCATCAATTCACTAGAACCATGCTCATTTCTGTAGCGAATCCCACGGTGGATTCGCCATTGAAAACTTGAAAGAGAAATTCAAAAAAAGAGAAAAGAAATTAAAAGATAAGAAATCTGATTTTCATTCAACATAGTTACCAAAAGGGAAATACACTGAAATAAAAGGCCAAGGCTTCTACCAGATGAGACATGTGGCAACTAATCCTACGGCCACTTGTAGGGACTAAAAGCAAAATAAGTACAAGACTCAATTAATAATAAGTAAACTAATGACCAAAATATAAAATTAATACCACTAAGCAAACATCTAGAACTGCCCATTTCTCTGTTTCGTTACATTTTATCACCCTTCGAAGAACCTTGTCCTCAAAGTTCATATAAATCTGGAATTCCTTGAACAGCCTCATCAGCTTACATATTGGATTGATGTTCCAAACTCTTGAAACTGCAGAGAACCACAAATTGTGAACCAATAACCTCCAAAAACAAAATCAGGCACTACTGCATTAGTTTGACTCCAGAATAGTAGTGAAGTAAACTTCCAAACTAATCCTACAATTGTGCCACCTCTTGAATAAAGTGATCTCCTTGACTGTGGTAGAAATATTATCTTGTCCAATATGATTGTAATGGACCTCTGTATAATAGTAAATGAATTAGGTTTGTGGGAATGTCCATCCACGACCTTCTTGCTCCATTGCTCAATCATGGAACTTCTTACTTACTCTCTTGAATATGCAGCCTCCATCTTCAACTCAGTGTTGTTGAAGCTCATGCAATCAGGGTATTCTCCCCTAATCTCTGAAATTAGCAAAGTTCCTAGTGCAAAGTTGTTTCCTCCAACTGAAGGGAGCACTTGAAAATATTGGAGACACTCAAAGTTCTCAGCCTCTTTTTTCACCACCTCTACACTAACTGTGCTAAAAACATATGCATCAGAATGGAGAGCCAAGAAACTAGCATAATCACTAATTACCCAACTACCAGGATCAGGCACCTCTGAATAATAGGCATATTTATCTATGTAGTCCAGTAACAGATTCATGACTATGCTGACAAGAGCTCCTGTAGTATGAAATTCTCTTCCTTTATATTCTGGAAATAGTTCAAACCTCTTCAATAAAAATGCTAGGAATTCCACAGCTATCCTAACAACGCCATTATTAAGATCTTCCAATGAAATTCTCAAATAGGAACAACCGACTCCAACAAAAGAATTAAGGATTATTAGGTTTGCATCTAAGTTCCAAATGCAAGAACGCCACAACACAATATGTTTCATCAAGAACTCCACTTCAAATGTATCACAACCAAGGCAACTTAGAATAAGCAACACCTCAAGGAAATCATCATTGTCTTTATATATTGACCCCACAAATAATATGCCTCCTCCAGGTTCAAAGACAATTGGTTCATTCAGTTTAAAGCTGTAAAAGTAAAGATATTTAATAAAGACGTGCAAACTGGAGTATATTATTCCACACTCCAGATCCTTCAAACTTTCAGTAGAGTTCACAGGGTAGTTAAGAAGTGAAGCCAGCAATGAACAGAATGAGTAGAAAATCCCCTTGTAAACACTCCAAGAAGCACTTGATTGCATTTCTCCAATCGCACCCTCTTCAGCAGGATCACCATTGACATGTACAGTTGTAACATATAATAAGATTTTCAATAACTTCATTGCAATCAAACAAACTTTCTTATGTTCAATTACCTGGATATCCCCAAGAGAACTGAATAGCACATGACGCTCAAGTACCCCTAAGTGTTGATAAAATGAATATGCTCTTCTCATCCCATTGCCAAGCAAGAAAACAGAGAATTCCATGGTTCCAATGAGTAACTCCTTCGCATGAATTGAAATATCTAATGACCATAGAACTTCCTTTATGAGAAGTAACTCCCTCATGAAGGTGGCCAACTTTTCAAAAGTTTCGCTAAAAACTAACACCAGTGTACTATTTTCGAAAAAAATTGGTTTGGCCTTTCTCATGGTACCACCCATAATAGAACTCCGAGATGAGATATTGTTTCTTATGAAGAATTGAACCACAGAAAATACTGCTATAGATGGAAACAACATCTTCAGAAGCTCCCCAAAAATTGATCCATCCACATACTCATTGACAACGAAGGTAGAGAATCTCAGTGAATCGAATGTGGAAAGAGCCATTGCACAAAGATAAACACCACCAGTCAAGCAAACATCAGTCCATTTCAATTGCATTGTAACAACACTGATCAAGGCAGTATTAAGATCAAGATAAAATCCCCAATTAACAGTACGCCAAACAGCGAATAACAAGAAAACCACACATGCAAACTTATGGTGGTTAAGAAGTCCCAACATCTCAACAATCAAATGGTCCCTACAATTATCAAACTGAATAGTAGCTGATACGAATAGAAACATTGATTGATGATACGACACTTCGTGCCTATAATAGAAAATAGAGCCAAACAAAACCATCGAAAGGGGAATTTGAGTTGAATTAGCAGAATATCTAGTGAGATTTTCGATCAATGTAGTGGTATCCAAGTTTCCGTTGCAAGCCCGGAGAAGATTGTGTACCTCATACCAAGTCAATGATTCCGAGTAATTACTATTCTTCTTTGTTCTTGTTGACCAAAACTCAGCTTGTAGTTCAGTTTCGTCCCTTTGAAGACATTCATCAAACACTATGCATACCTTGTTTTCATAAGCTTCAGCACCTTCATTTTCTATCGGTGATGGCTTTTCCTCACCTTCATCTTCTAGTTTCAAAGCATTTTGGTCTTCAATGGTAACGGCAAGAACGTATTTGGTGAAAAATGGAATCACGGGACTTGCATTGCACGTTGTGATCTCATTAGGGCTAATTTCCAGAGTTTTATTTGTGTGAGAACTTTCATCAAGCACTTGGTCTTCCACTGAACTTCCTTCCTCTTTAACTTCAATTTCCAGCAATGCACATGCATCACAGTTAACAGAAGCTTCTTCTTCATCCTCATGTACTTCAACGTCGTTGCAGAGAGTGGATGTTCCAAACAAGTTGATGCGTTTGTGAAAATATGTCTTGCCCACTTTTCCGAAGTAACTTAGATGGTATTCGTCGAAGAGGATTCCAAGGTGGTTCATTTTACCGGCGTTTCGTTTACTTCCAGGATGTTTCATGTGTTTTTCGATACGACCACTGCAGACATTAAGGTATCTTCTCTTCTTTCTATTCTTCCTGAATTTTGTCAATACTGTTTATTCATCTCTGTATGTATGAGTAGTCGGAGCAGCTGTCACTAACACTACAGAATCATTACCCAACTGAACAAAATAGGAACCCGGATAGTTACCATCAAAATGATAAGCATATGGAACCCGGTAAGGACAAGTTCGCGAATCACCATGGCAATACTCAACGCCATAGGGATTGCAACTCAGGTCTGGTCTGTAATATGGATGAGGGTAAGTGTACGCATACAGATTTTCATGGTACTGCTCAACTCCAGAGGATTCTCGATAACAATGTGTATTTGCACCGGCATACTGATGATTTGCGTACGGGCCATCGGAAATCCATTGCTCACTCTCCAATCTTTGAGCCTCATACTGATTTGATGAACTATGGAAGGTCCTAGAAAGGTGATGATATCGTTCTTCTAAATGCTGAATTTTTCTGTTCGACCTAGCCATAAAAGCTTGAATCTGCTGCTCTAACTAATTTTGTGCTCCGCCGGAATCCATAGTTTTCTGTCTATCCGATGAACAGCTGAGAATCGTCGGCTCTGATACCAATTGTAGCGAATCCCACGGTGGATTCACCATTGAAAACTTGAAAGAGAAATTCAAAGAAAGAGAAAAGAAATTAAAAGATAAAAAATCTGATTTTCATTCAACATAGCTACCAAAAGGGAAATACACGGAAATAAAAGGCCAAGGCTTCTACCGGATGAGACATGTGGCAAGTAATCCTAATTAATAATAAGTAAACTAATGACCAAAATATAAAATTAATACCAGTAAGCAAACATCTAAAACTGCCCATTTCTCTGTTTTGATACAAATTTGGCGAAGAGAAGATGGAAAAATAGTGCACCTACGAAGCTAAATGCTTTACAGGTTTGGTGGCAAAGGTGCTATTTTCACGCAACTGTTGATATAGAGGTATACATCTATTACACAGATTTGTTATATGGATGGAATATCATGATGTATAATAAGACATGAAGATGCTCGTGAAGCTTATTCAAGCAATGCCGAGATCAGCATGGGTAGCTCGGGTCAAGCTTAGTGTAGCACCACGAATTCTGGACTAAGAAGTCATATGCCCCCAAGGCACTGAAGGTTGATAACCTAATATGTTATACCCACATCTAATAATGGGAATAAAGCAAAAGTGAGGAAATTAATGAGAGGAAAGTTAGAAATATAAGCAAGAAATATAAATGTGCCAAGAAACAAGATCAGATTCAATTTTGAATATGACTTTTACCTACTTTTTGATGTTTCATCTTATCATTTACTAATTAAAAAGAGTTGATTTTCAAGCAAAAAAGTGGGGATATTTCTACGATAAAAGTACAAAAAGTTGAGCGGTACAATACGACACAGCCCCAGCAACAAAAAATGCAACTGCAAAGGTGAGGGACCAGACGTGAGTGAGTTGAGTTATTATTACTATTATTATCATAATAATAAGAGAAACTTGAATTAAACAATTTAGTGGGTGATTAAATATACCAGTTGAGTATTCGGAATTGGAGGAGACTTTCTGGCAATATCCCCTGCCGAATCAAAAATCAAATTTTATTTTTTATAAATTCTACCGTAGATGAGATTTTTTAGACTATTTATAAACCTGATTTGTGTTGGTGGTGCTGTCACACCTCCTTTTTACACCAAAAGATATATGCGTTATGGATTGTTGTGGGTTAAAGAGTTTTTCCAATTAAAGTGACAAATTTGAATATGGATTATTTTATTTACAGAGTCGCCACTTGGAATTGATTTTTTGGGTGTTCCAAGTCACCTTTTATTTGAATTCATTGTCAAAGGAAGGTTTGACTCTATTATTATTGGTCTGCGAAAACAAAGCTGGGTAAGGATTCTGTTGACCGGGGAGAAGGTGTAAGGCATTCCCCGAGTCCCGTGATTCTAGCACGGTCGCTTTATTGACTACAACTTGGCTTGAATTAATTTTAGATAAACTGTGATTTATTATTTTTCATGTTTTATCTATCCACTTTTATATTAAAATATGAAATTATCTTTGAAACGAATCACGTGTGTGAATCCGTTTTGTTTATTGTGCCAAAATTATGTCATGTGTACGTGCACGCAATTAATAGCATTTTTATTATATTTAAGGTTGTTTCGCCCAAAGTTGCGCAAACACATACCTTGATTTTAGTTTTGGGAATCGTAATTATGTCACGCGAACGTATACATAATCACAATGATTCAATTAATTATGAGTACGCCTAAAGGATTCTAGCGCATTCATGATTTGTTTCTTTCCTAAGTATGAGATTATTGTGAAGGCCATGAATTATGGAATTACTTGTAGAAGAAGTGTATGATTTTAGATATTTGAATAAATAAACCATCATATACCAATACCCTACAACCCAACAATTGAAGCCCAAACTCATTAGGGTCCAAATCTTCCCAACTCTAAAGCAAGTTTGAATAACATATTTCCAAAAACATGATTAAGCATACATCATTGAAGGACTAACTTACATTATTATTTATAAAGTTTAAAGGCAAATAAATACAATCAAATGAAATAAGATAAAAAGAACAGAGGGAAGAATAAACCTTTAATGCAAAATTTCTAATTAAATGAGTCTCCAAGAACAGGTACAATAACTCAGACGAACGTCGAACAAGCATAAGCGACGAATAACATCAAACCTAGTGAACGGAGCTCCAACGGAATCCTCGACCTCGACTATTGACTCCACTTTTTGGCGTGTAAAAAAAGAATGTTATGAAATATTTTTGTTGGATTTTGGGTGATGACTTGCTGGATTGTTTGAAAGAAAGACGAAGAAAGAATGACACGAGTAGAAATTCACTTAGCGTAGAAGAAGAAAAAACAATTTCTCTCAATTCCCTCCTCCCTTCTTTTTTCTCCTTCTCCCTTCCCTTTTCTCCTCACATTTCTCTTCTATTTATAAAAAACAATCGGAATTTTTTCAGATTTTGTTTTTTATTTTATTATTTTATTATGTTTTAATTAAAAAGAATTCTCACTTCCCATTTTTCTTCTTTTTTAAAAAAAAATAATTCCCCACTTTCCTTTACTTTTCTTTTTTTAAATTTCCCACTTTTTACTTTTTTTTTTATTTTCTATTTATTTTACTTTTCTTTTTTTTTTAATTTTCACTTATCTTACTTTTCTTTTTTTAATTTCTACTTTCTTTTACTTTCTTAAAAACAAAATTCAGCTACATTTACTTTTATTTTTTAATTACAACTTCTTTTACTTTTTATTTTTTAAATTTCCACATTCTTTTACTTTTATTCTTTTAATTTTCCACTTTCTTTTACTTTTTAAAAAAATAATAATTTCCACCTACTTTTACTTTTAATTTTTTATTCCATACTTTTAATTTTTCTATTATTTTATTCCCATCCTAAAATTAAATTTTGTTTTAATTTTTTCGATTTTATTTTAAATTTATTTTATTTAAAAATAAAGATAAAAAATAAAAATAATACTAATAGTAATAATTTGACCTTTTAAATTATTTATAATTCTTACCCTATATAAAAAAAAATGTGACAAAGCTAAAATATATATATATTAAATTTCTAAAAATATTTACATAGTATAAGGTGATAAAAATTTAAAATATAGTCAAACATTAGGTGCTCACAGCTGACCCTCTTTGCTTGAAAACATGAAGAGTTTTCAGGCAAAAACTAGATGAGCCATGTGACTAATTTTTGACCAAACCATTATTCAAAGGAAAAAAAATAAAAGATAGGGTGTAACCGAGTCCTGATTTTGTACAGCATACATATCCCGGGTTATAGGGGAATCAGGTCACGTATAGTTCAAGAAGAATGGTGGAATGATGAGTTGAGGAGTCGAGTGCGGTTTCGTCGAGGCTCCGGTCCGCGGTCCTGCTATTATATCAAAATAAAAAAGAAACTAAACAAGCCTATCAGCTATGAGTTACAAGATTCCTATCTATGAGTCTTCTGAAACTTGATCTTGAGTCTTGAATGGTTCTTCATGCAGCCTCTGATCTAAACCTTGATGCTCGCTAGCTGTAAGTGCTAGTTCATTTTTCTTTAGCTCCTTCTAATCAAAACGGGACTCCAATGCTCGTGGCTTCAGTCATGTCTTGAGCATTCCACATCTTTTTAACTGCTTTTGCATTTTGGATTCACCTATTTTTTCTTTTCTTTTATTTTAAATTGAGACTTCTTCTTTTGGTCATCTCAAACCTTATGCCTCAAGGTAAAACCTACTCAGAAACAAAAACAAACAAACGAAATTTCTCTGCCCCAGTTTGCACTAGGAAAATTTCGTGAGTTATTGTAACAAAATTCTAAATTACATCTTTATTAAAAGCAATAAAAGGTCGGGAATGGAGACCCTATGTCTAAAATGAAAGAAACTAGGGAGTGGAGACCCTATATTGGAAAAGCAACTAGGGATTGGTGTACCCTGATACTGGTAAGGAAATATAATCAAGGATTGGTACCAGGTATTATGGAAAAAGAATGTAATCAGGGGTTGGTACCCTGTAGTACTGAAAAGAATGTAATCATGAGATGATGTCCTGTATTACGGAAAAGAAATGTAACCAGGGGTTGGTGCCCTGTATTACTGAAATGAAAATGAATCCCCTAGGCGAAAAGGTTCTACCTGGGTTAAGCTACGAAAAACAACCTGGGCGAAGAGTACGTTTATCCGGAACTATGAGCTGGATCCCCCTAGGCAAAAAAGTTCTATCTGGGTTAAGCTATGTAAAACATCCTAAGCGAAGAGTACTTCTACTCAGAACTATGAGCTGGATCCCCCTAGGCGAAAAGGTTTTACCTGGGTTAAGCTACGAAAAACATCCTGGGCGAAGAGTACTTCTACCCGGAACTATGAGCTGGATCCCCCTAGGCGAAAAGGTTTTACCTGGGTTAAGCTACGAAAAACATCCTGGGCGAAGAGTACTTCTACCCGGAACTATGAGCTGGATCCCCCTAGGCGAAAAGGTTCTACCTGGGTTAAACTACGAAAAACAACTTGGGCGAAGAGTACTTTTACCCGGAACTATGAGCTGGATCCCCCTAGGAAAAAAGGTTCTACCTGGGTTAAGTTACGAAAAATAGCCTAGGCTAAGAGTACTTCTACCCGGAAACTATGAGCTAGATCCCCCTATGAGAAAAGGTTCTACCTGGGTTAAGCTATGAAAAACAGCCTGGGCGAAGAGTACTTCTTCCCGGAATTATGAGATGGATCCCCCTAGGCAAAAGGTTCTACCTAGGTTAAGCTACGAAAAACAGCCTGGGCGAAGAGTACTTCTACCCGGAAACTATGAGTTGGATCCCCCTAGGAGAAAAGGTTCTACCTGGGTTAAGCTACGAAAAACAGCATGGGCAAAGAGTACTTCTACTCGGAACTATGAGCTAGATCCCCCTAGGTGAAAGGTTCTACCTGGGTTAAACTACGAAAAATAGTCTGGGCGAAGAGTACTTCTACCTGGAACTATGAGCTGGATCCCCTTAGGCGAAAAAGTTCTACCTGGGTTAAGCTATGAAAATGAGAGGTATAGACAGTAGTGATGCATGCTGAAAAATAAAATAAAATGGAGATTTTGAGGGACTTACCTTTGGTGATATTCGTCCTTTGAGAATCGCCATTCTGTATTTCTTTGTTCCTGCTTCAAACCAAGAAAAATTATTAGTTTTAAAAGTGGTGGTCGGTTTGTGGCCAATGTCTTTGGCAACTTAGATTTGTGCCCATCTTCTTTTGATGATGATTTCAACTTGCCACTAGATGTTTCGTGAATACCACTTGCATTTCTGGCCTCGGAGAGGCTTTGACTTTTCAAACTTTTACATGACGGTTGGTCGTGTGGGACTTAACCTTTTCAACTTTATTTTGCCTTTATGGCATTTCACTTTCGACTTCTTTCCTCCAAAACCTTCAATTTTAGAGCATTGGGGAACCTTTGGCTTTTCAAACATTGCCAAAATGGTTAGCCACTTGGGACTTAACCTATTCAACTTCATTTTGCCTTGTAGGCACTTTCAATTTGATTTCCTCCTTTAGAGAGTTTTTGATTTCAAAGCATCAGCCACCATGGCCAATCGGGGTTGACTTGATGCCCCTGCAAAGGCTGGGTGCCTCTTGAATATTAGCTTGTATCAAACGAAAACCCTGTAAATCAATCTTGCTATCCCTTCTTTGCCTTAGTTTTGGAACAGAGTTAGACCAAAAGGG